ACGACCACCAGTGCCACCAGCTGCAGCCACTAGAGGCCGAGGATGCGGCCGTGGTCGTGGTAGAGGCAGAGCAGCGAGGGCAGCACCTGCAGATCCACCAGCTACCCCAGTTCAGGACCAGGTCTCAGCTGTGGACCCTCCAACAGCATCAGCTCAGGCACCAGCTGTGCCTATTATGATGCCGGGTCTTCAGGAGGCCTTGGCTCAGATATTATCAGTTTGCACTGGCCTAGATCAGGCGTTTTCAGCCACTACAACCGCAGCTACTTCACAGGCCGGGAGAGGTAGTCAAACTCCCGCCGCCCGCACGCCTGAGCAGTTGGTTAACTTCTTTAAAAGATGAATTGGGTGTAGTTGGTTGGCCTTGTCTTCACGAGAGGCGCCATCACGACCGGGTTGGGATTTAGGATCGTGACAAGTTGGTATCAGAGCCTAGGTTACATAGGTATCACGAGTCATGAGCAGCTTTCGTAAAGTCTCGCGGATCTGTACAGAGACGTCTGTATTTATCCTCGAGAGGCTGCAGAACCCTTAGGAAAATTTCACATTCTTGAACTTCTTGTCGTGCGAATTTGTTGATCCGAGTATTAAACTTTTGTTGCTCCATTCTCTCACAGATAGTGATGAGGACACGCGCTACTGGACAGGATGGACGACCACCAGTGCCACCAGCTGCAGCCACTAGAGGCCGAGGATGCGGCCGTGGTCGTGGTAGAGGCAGAGCAGCGAGGGCAGCACCTGCAGATCCACCAGCTACCCCAGTTCAGGACCAGGTCCCAGCTGTGGACCCTCCAACAGCATCAGCTCAGGCACCAGCTGTGCCTATTGTGATGTCGGGTCTTCAGGAGGCCTTGGCTCAGATATTATCAGTTTGCACTGGCCTAGATCAGGCGGTTTCAGCCACTACAACCGCAGCTACTTCACAGGCCGGGAGAGGTAGTCAGACTCCCGCCGCCCGCACGCCTGAGCAGGTCGTGCGGGGGCTTCAGACGCCAGGGGCACATCCAACCCAGTCGGCCACAGCTGCTCAGGACTATGTAGTTCCTGTCATGCCAGAGGATGAGTAGCGTAGGTTGGAGAGATTTGGGAGACTTCAGCCTCCGACCTTCAGTGGAGCAGAGGGCGAGGATGCCCAGGGCTTTCTAGACAAGTGTCAGAGGATGCTTCGCACAGCCGGTATCTTGGAGACCAGCGGGGTCGCTTTCACTACTTATCAGTTTTCAGGACCTGCTTTTTCTTGGTGGGAAGATTTTGAGAGGCGTAGGCCTGTTGGTGCAGCACCCTTATCCTGGCAGCAGTTCTCCGTTCTTTTTCTAGAGAAGTATGTACCGTAGTATCGCAGAGAGGAGCTGTGTAGACATTTTAAGTGGTTTCGTCAGGTAGATATGACCATGTCACAATATGAGTTGAGGTTCTCTGAGTTGGCTCGTCATGCCATCTGGTTGGTCCCGACAGATCGAGAGAGGATCAGGAGGTTTGTCGATGGTCTTACTTATCAGCTCTGTATCCTTATGACCAGGGAGAGGGTGACTGGTGCTACATTCGAGGAGGTTGTGGATATTGCCAGGGAGATTGAGTCTATCCGTCGTCAGGAGCGAGAGGAGAGGGAGGCCAAGAGGCCTCGAGGATCGGGTAGCTACAGTGGTGGTCCCTCGAGGGGCCAGTTTCAGCACGGTAAAGGCCGACAGTTCTGACATGGTCGGTCTGATCACGCAGGTTATCGAGGGGCGTCATCAGGTCATGGATCCCACAGCTCACACCAGGGTCGTTCTTCACTTAGTGCCCTCGCAGCTCAGAGCTCATCCCGCGCTCCATCTGCTCAGGGTTCTTCTGCGCCGAGTGCATCTGCTGGTCACTCCGATGCGAGGGGTTCTCATCAGTCCCCTTCTCCAGCGCCTAGGAGTTGTTGTGAGTGTGGCGAGGTGGGCCATATGTGGAGCTCAAGAAATAAACATAAAGAGGCGATCAAGAAAGTCACGACTGCCTGTCCCTTCCTCAAAGCAAGGAGCGGAACCCTAGATCTGAGATCTCTCCCGTCTTCAAAAAACAAGCAATGAAGACAACTCTCACCTTCGATTGATAGATGAAGCGTGTTGCTAGTTCATCCCAGCAGAGGGGCCAGTCATCAGCTTCAGCTCCAATTGCTCCACCACCACCCGCCCAGCCAGCTAGGGGTGGGGATCAGTCAGCCAGGGGTCCCCTGCTAACCGTCCTTATAGGGCTATTGGGACGGATGTTGACCCGTTCCGGGATTCAGCATTACAATAGGTCTATTGGAACGATTATTTGCAACGGTTCATAAACCGTCTCCATAGATAGGGATATTGTAACAGTTTTGGATTGCTACCATGCTTTATCTACAGGAACGGTTTATTTTCTATTGGGACGGTTATAAACCGTACTGGTAAACTAATACAGCTGATTTTTTTAAGGCTGTTGCAACGGTTTTCATGATATATTGCAACGATTTTCATGATATGTTGGAACAATTATCAGTACTCTATTGCAACGGTTTTCATGATATATTGGAACAATTATCAGTACTCTATTGCAACGGATATTATAACATATTGGAATAGTTATTAGGGGCTGCTCTTGCTATTTGCTAGGTCTATTGGGACGGTTATATTCTCTATTGCAACAAATTATAATTTCTGGTATTTATGGAAGCAAAAGTAGAAATAGTTTCCTATTCTGTGAAATTGTTTACACCATTTCCAACTACCATTATCCATGTACAAAAACAAAATGTGGATACAATGTTTGGTCAAACAATTCAAAAGTCAAAATAGATGAGTTTGCATACAAAAAGTTCTAAAGTAAAATATCCTTAAACATAATAATAAAGCCTAACAACAATCAACAACAACACTCAAGTAAGGTCTTCGTCACTGCTTTCATCCGCAATCACTGCACCTACAAAAGATAATGAGAAATAATTAAATAATATTTTTAGGATAATTGAATCACAAAGTAATTGAATGACCAATTTGATAATAACTCGAAAATTTTCATTCTCTCTAAATTCTTAAATTTTTCGGCAGAGTTTCCTTTGATATGACTATCCCAAAATTTTCAACCTGCTCAAAACATCATTTGCAAATACAACTATGCAGAACCAATAAATAAGAGAAAAGAAACAGAATGGGAAAAAAATTATAATGGAGGCAGAGGAAACCTGAAGACTTAGGAGTACTTAAGTCCTTAGTTAAAGTTTTATAAGTTCAGAAAGGAAGATACAGAAAATAGAACATCCTCTTCAAAGCTTCAGCTACCACCCTACCCCTCCTCCAATTGTTCTCCAGTGAGAAGATGACACCAAATAAAACTTGGTTTGTGGCTTCAAGACAACATCATTGAGTAGAGATTACAGCACTAGGTACTACTGCTAATTTATCTTGGAGAAGGACAAAAAGAAGATCAAAAATTTCTGTTTTACAAGGACAAAAAGTATTTTTATCTCTACTTAACATGCCGTAGATATATCTATACACCAACGGTATCTATAGCTCTAGCAGGGGTGTGCCTATGCAAACTATTGAGTATTGACTTATGTACTAGTATATATGTAGTTCAACATATCCATTTACATACATATATGTAAATATCCATTTGTAGTAATTTTACGCCTATCTTTATAAAGGGTAATGAATGTAGTGATACTTGACTTAAATTTTTGAATCCATAACGAATTACAGTGCTTGGTGTAGTGTTGGTCAAGGATCTACAGACAATTACTCATGACAAGGCTGATGCTGAATTTTCATGACCGGGGCCCAAAACTGTAAAGGGTTAGATTCAATATCAATGACATCACAAGGCATCGGCAGAATAGCAGAAGGAACAAGAAAACCTCTCTCTCTCTCAATATGGAGAATCTGGCATTAAGAGTAGAATCTTAGGATGTACAGTAGCAACTACAATAGGACAGGTGGAATAGGATGACCTTAATTTTGAGTTGAGTTGGGTGAAAGGAGAGGAGAGGGGTTGGAGAAAGAGGATGAATGGGTAGTAGTTAGGAAACCAAGGAGAGGCACGTTCGGGCCTCTGGAACTTTTTCTTCAACTAATTTTTGGAAGTTTCATATCACAGATTCAACATATTCATTTGCTGATAAAGCTAGATATAAGGAGGCCGGTAAATAAGAAAAATGGATACAATACTGAAGATCAAAATAACCCCACTTTGTTGCCATCACAAGATTAAAAAAAACTATCACCTGTCATGCCCCTACAAAGAATTCACAAAGTTAAGTACCTTGCCAATACCACCGACTTCTGACCACTCATGCTTAATGTGGGCATATATAAACCATTAAGGAAGAAAAGAAAAGAAGCTAAATCAGTAAAAAGTACACAGCTCACAATTACAAACTGCTAAACTTCACTTGAAACTTGCTGTGATCAAATTACTGACCTTATTACCAGCCGGGGCAGGGAGGTGGATGCTTACAAATGGAAATATGTAGAACTAATGAATCATTCTGAACAAGGCCCCAACATTTCTTACTATTCTTGAAACTGGTCTTGCCATATAGAAGTTATTACTACATTAATTTACTAACGTTCGGAAATTCATCGATGACAGACAATTCAGAAAATTAAAGCGTACCAACCAAAAAATGAGCAAACGTATGTTAATATTTAAGGCTTCAATACGCCATTTTAACCGTTTTTGAATTCTTACCCAACTGCCCCAACTTCAATATAAGAGGTTCTAGATAAGTTGCATTGTCATACGATTTTATGGAAATTGAACCTTTTTGCACTGTGTCATAGTGGGGCAACAGGGACTCATTAAATTTTATTTTAAACCTTAGGAACTTTTGCAACAGTCTCTAACAGTTGTACCCTCAAAGCGTAAAAATACAAAAATTTACCTCCATCGTCAATTGTTCAAATAGTTCAAACATCTGTGAAATGAATGCTATCTAACCACTGTCATTCCAGCTAAGTTAAATCATATTCATATATAAGGAAGTTTGATAATATGGATGAAGATAATGCGAACATCTCCTGAATAGCAGCAGATAAAATATGCACATGAATTCTAAACTCAGAAAGGCAACTAGGATATAGCAATGTGGTTCATCATTCTGGAGAAGTTTGCAAACCGTAATATATATCCCAACTATAGTTCTTGGCATCAACAAGTATAATTCTAAACCGAATAAGCTAAAAAATAAGCAATATTAATACGTCGAATGAGTTGGCCTTCTTTGTTGCTATCAGTAGATGGACGACGAATTGGTTGCAAAGTTGCTCGCTGTGCAGAAGAAGCTTCTCCAGGAGAATCATCACCCAATGCCGCTAGAATAATATTAGCATCAATATCAATTCCTGAACGCTGAAGTCGTGCAAGGACATCTGCAACAACTTCTTGACGGATAGTTGCCTTTTGTTCCTCAATTTTCTCATCCATCCTCTGTATCTTCTCCTCCATTTTTTGTAGAGAATTTGAAGTATTTGAAGAAGATTCAAAACATCCTACCTTCCCTCTCAAATAAGTTCTTGTAACCCCTCGTCCATACAATCTCAGACGTCCCGAATGTTCAGGCCCCATGACAGATGCAAATACATCAACGGACTCATTGCCATTTTCATTTTGTTGGGATTCAATTGCCACCATTTCAGCCTTCAAAGCAAATTCAAACAAATAGAACAAGTAAATAAAAATTATACTAATAAAAATAAATAATTGATCTCGATATAACATCAGTTAAATATAATTCGCACAATTTTACTAGTTGTATCATCATCCGAGCACTTGTATGATCGCCCAGCTTTTCTTTTTCTTGTAGCTACAAAGACTTCTTTTGCCGATAAAGGATCCGAAGTTTCCTTCTCTTTTTCCTAGTTACATAGTTACATGAAAGTGAGTTAGCATTCGTGGTGATCTACCATGTACTAAACAAGAGCAGAAATTGAGAAATTTTTTGCCATTATTTGCTAGTTACACACCAACTTAGAGCGTACTAAAGCAAAACTTCTTTTTCCAGCAGTGTGAGGATTCTTCAACTTTTTCCGGTTCTCAATATTAATTTGGCACATTCCCTGCAAGAAGAAAGAAATATCAAACAACAACTTACAATTCTGAATCAAAATTGGGACATTAATGCAAAAGAATGTGATTGACTGATTCTACTTTTTCCTTTACAAAAATCGCACGTTGACTGATTCTGCTTTTCCCTTCACAAAATCGCATGTTCTGCACAAGTTGTAACTTCTTTTCTGCAAATTATCCTAGGTTAAGCATGCGTTGTTTACAGCAGTCCATCAAGCCAAGCCACTTTTGGTGGTGTTTTTGTTTTCCACGTTGTCCTCTAAGCCTATTTGCACGTGTTTCCAACCTGTCATCTTAGCGGTAAGTTATACAGTAATCTTAGTTCTTACTAAAAACTAACCATCCTTCAGCATTTGGAATTGATATGGCGATAGCAAATCACAGTTAACAAATCCTTCAGCAAGTAATGTAGAAGAAGGAGAGTTTTCAGATTTTTTCATGAGGAAATTTTTTATCTTTAGTTTTCCTCAGCAAATACAATAATGTCTTTCAAGATGAAGAATATGAAGAGAACATTGATTTTCCTGTGATTAAGTTGTTAAGAAAATTCAATTTTGATCCAATTCAGGACAGTGTTAGCTTTTCCTTGATATGGTTAGGCAGGAATCAGCTTGAACACGCTCATGGTTAATAATTGATAATTAAACAAACTCCTCACTGTATACTACTAGCTACTTTGGATTTTCATACACATGCATATCATACTGCAGATTATCAGGGACAAGAAATTAGTAGTTTAAGACCATAACTTTTCAGCATATCTGCTTTTACGATATGTCAACGACCATACGACAACACAACAATTACAGACCAGTGTTTCGACGCTTTTTGTGCAGAATTTTTCTGGAAAAAAATCACCAGCATTTCGGCGCTTTTTGGACACTTAGAAAGAAAAAGAAGTAGTAGTAGTAGTAGTAGTAGTAGTAAGAAGTACATATACCTGTAGTTTCTCTGAGTTCCAATACCTAAGGAGTTCCTTAAACTGAGAAGCTGGAACATCTTCCGGGATATTTTGCAATCGAGCTTCATCATTGTGATAGGAGTAAAAGTGATCCTTTTTCAATCTACTCTTGTGCTTTTTCCAGGCAGCTTGCACTGATTCCAAAGTATATTTTTTTCCAGCTTCAGGAATATCATACTTATCCTACAATTGATGTCAAATCTGTTAGTGCAGAAGATATGAGATTTTCAACCAAAAACTGAAAATTAAGAAGTTCAGACCTTGGTATATTCCCATATATCCTCTTTTGTGTCCATCTTCCTCCAATCCAAAATATCAAGAGGACATAGAGTCGCATTCCTTGCCAATGTGCCGAGGAAGCTTCCAAACTCTGTCACAACTTTATCACTTGGACCAACGGGTTGATTTAAGTGGTTAAGTAAAATCACTTTAGGCTCCTGGCGTCCATGTACATTTTTCATCTTTGTTCTATCTCTTTTTCTTGGTTGAATAGAAGGGCCTACAATTATATGAACAAAAAAAAAACACCAAATCAGTATTGTTGATACATTATATATGACTGCAATAGGATGTAAATATTTTCAGATAAATCTATAAGTTCTTACCTTGTTCTTCAGATTGTTCATCTACAGTAGGAGTTGTAGAATCCAACTGAACTTGTTCCTCCACTTGTTCATCTATTACTTGTGTGGCAGGAGTGGTTGATCTAGTTTGTACATGAGCTGCCACTCCTGAATATTTTGGCAGTAGCATATTCTCTTCAATGATATTCGGATGCTCTTTGTTTGATTGTTTAGCAGGAACAACATATTTTGCAGCAGTGGTTGATCTAGTTTGTACATGGGCTACTACTCCTGGATATTGTGGCAGATTCTCTTCAATAATATTCGAAAGATCTTTCTTTGATGTCTAGCGGGAACACCATATTTTTGGCTAAACGAACTCCTTATTTGATTTGCCAAAGATGCCATTGTTCCAGGTTTTGCGTATGCCGCACTTGTCTTTCTTTTGGGCTTTGAAGGTCTTTCTTGACTCATGTCTGTCAGAATCTGATGAAGAATACAAAAAAAAATTATCTCTAATAGGTATTATATAAAAGACAACAGTAGGATTTAAAGACAAATTCTATGAGTTGATCTTAGAAAGCTGAGATCTTCCTGATTTACTTATTTTATTAAACTGTGTGACTGATGCTAAGGTCAAAAGAACTATCCACTTGATTTACAAAATAACAGCATAGAGACTTATAATCTACTTTACCTGAACTGATAGCAGTAGACAACCACAACTCTAAGACAACCACAACTTCAAGATAGGAAACAAACTAAACTTGAACTGAAACATACAACTCTAAGACAACCACAACTTTAAGATAGGAAACAAACTAAACTTGAACTGAAAGGGAACCCTAGTCGTTGTTGTTGCTGGTCGTGTTTAAATAAAAGTACATTGATCCCTTCTTTTTTAATTAAATAGGCTAGCAGCTTCACTCGCTTCGCTGCTACACCAGAAAATTCAACGACCTCCATATTCTTTCTCTATGTAGCTAATTTCGAACAGCACCCTGAGAAAAAATAAGAAGGCAAAGGTTTGATGATGTCCAAGAGAGGAGGAAAGACATGAGGAAGGGGCAACCAAAGAGAAGTAAGGACATCACCATTTCATTTTCCAAATGCATATCACAATTTTCAAATAATTACTGCACATTATCGTCTTCATAAATAAGATGAGGCATCTAAAACTACCTCAGATACTACTTAGCGAACCTGAAACTGCAAAATGAATCAACTTTCTAGTAACCATCCTTTCAGTTGAGCACTTGAACTTCTAGATTTATTATTCTTTCTGTTTTTAGTTATACTAGTCTCTCGACACGTGTAACATAAGGTATGTAGTACCGACACGTGTAACATAAGGTATGTAGTACAATGATTTTGTAAAAGAGTGGAGATTAAATGCTTTAGAGGATTAACTAACATTGATTGGATTTGCACTTCCGTAGATAGTCATTTTCTCATAACTGAGGAGAATAGAATTTATTATTATCAGTATAGCAGCTTGATAGAATAGAAATCCTTTTTCCTTCTCAAAAAAGGGATAGAATTATTCTATATAGATGACATTCTGACAACTACTTGAGGTTGTGTAAGTACACTTCGTAATTTGTCTACCATTCCATTCTTCTTTATATACTATGTGTGACACTAGTTGAGGCTGTCTAAGTACTGCCATTTGACACTATCTTTACCTGTCACGCTTGCAGCAATAGAGCTTCATTATGAATCACCAAGCTGTAAGTTGTGCTACATTTCTTGGCAAGAAGTTATAAAAAGCAAATGTCAATAGTATAAGACCACAAGATTAGTAATATTTTTTACCTTTGCCATGTAAACCTAAAGGATTTCTCTTCAAAGACAGTTCTTTTGTTACATCTTTTCATGTTGAAATGATGTTGTACTTATCCTGATTAGATTATGGGCATTGTTTGGGTGTTCAATTTGTTCTTACCACTATAGAACCCTGAAATCCATTTACCACAAACGACATACCGATGCGCCAGTTAATGCAAAAGGTAGTTAAATCAAATTATAGGACTATCTTTGCATCAACTAGATAGTTTATTTAATTATTTGTTCCCGACAAACTACTCTATATTGATCCAGTAAAATGGCGCTATGTGATATAATCATTCGTTTCTCTGTAAACGAGAGAAAACTAAAATTAAATTGTTATGTTTCTTTCTACTTATAATACTTCAGATATAATGTCACACTGCATACTAATATTTTTAATGTTATTTCTCTTTCCTTTAGCTTATAGAAAGCATTATCCACCTTACTTGGGACAATGAAATATGACAGTTTTAGGACTTAGGAAAAGATAGCACAAGATGTGTGTCCACCTATACAGCTGGCTAAGAAGGGAATATCATTTGCGAAACACTTCCAACAGTTGTACATAACTCTATATCTATTAGTGGAGTGATCTTTTCCATAAGCTAATGACGTCGAATTGATAATTTCTCTTAAGCTTCTAATATTAAATGGTTTTTATGTTTTCTTGCAGAAGGTAGTAACCACAAGACTAATATATTCTTCTTCAAGATATTGTACGAGGTACAATCACGTTGTTCTTTTTGCTACTTAGTAATTTCCTAAATTAGTTTAGTGATGATTCTGTTCTTTTTGTTTTTAATTTTAGTTCTTGGAACAACACTTTAGAAAAATGTGAGCAACTACTATAAAGGAATCCTTGACTTGGGAAAGCATGGACACCAAAGCTATGGACACTAAAGCTTTTCCATCAAAAGGACAATACTAAAGCTATGACTGGCGCAGAAGTTTAAATGGCCGACCAACAATTTCATAAGCGCATACATGTCATCAATCAGCCATTCACCAGGCAAATAAATATCACTATCTCTAATCTATCTATATAAAATACAATACAACATTAGTAAACAAAGAGAGGACAGAAATATGCATAAGAAATTATATAGAAATGGTAATTCATTGAAGATTTTTCTATAAAGCTATATAAATATAGTTTTCCATATTCATGTAAAATAATTTTTGTAGTTTTTCATTGGAAATATGAGAGCATATGCTAAGGAAAATACAAACAGACCTGACTGCCTCAATGGAAAATATAGCTATTTTCCAGCGACTTTCCAAACCTCGGTTCTACATTAATTCAAGCCTCGACGACTGTAAAATGTTACAAGAGCCAAATCCTGCAAAATTGAACAAGTCAGAATACAATAACAACAAGAGAATTTGCAGAAGGTCAACTGCTTATGAGTTATGACCAAAAGTCTCAAAGCCCACACAAACCAAAGAAAAGGATGGACAAAAACTAAAAAGATCTTTTCAGGTTTAATTGAAGAACAAAAACTGAAACCTTAAAGGATTATAAATTAAAGCAGATCATATTGGAAAACAACAAACAATATATGTTTTTCTTTTAGAACTGGATCAGGGAAGGAAATTCTCAAGATATAAAAAGTGAAGCTGCCAGTAGTTTGAATTCGGCTACTTTCAGTCGTGGTTGTTAATCTATCATCTATGGCCAGCAGAGCCAACATCTCCGACGCCTAAACACCATTTCTCTAGCGAAGTCGTTGAAGGCTTCGTCTATAATGGTTGCTGCATACTTTTCAGGAAAGATTAAAAAGGGCGTAAAAAAACTTACCTAGCAAAAATCACTGGTGTTGGATTTAGCCTTTAGGGATTTGGAGAGAGGACCTGATTTGGGGAAGCTTATTGTCTCTGTTCAGAGTGAAAGAGAGAAGGGGACTTTGGTGTGAGAGAAGGGGCTTTAATTTGGGGGTATCTGATTGAGCGTTATGGCTTTGGATGTATCGAGAATTTTAGTGGGGGAAAGAGTGACAAGATATTTTAACCTAATATTTATATTATTATATTAAAATTAGTTAAAGTTAAAAATAAAAGAAACATGGATTATTTAATTTGGGCGGGTTTGGCAAAATTGAGGAGGGAAAATACGGAAGGAAACAAGAACCATTCCGATAGAAGTTTTATCAATAAAACCGTTCCATAAATAGTTCTATTGGGACTATTTATAAAACGGTTACGAAAAAAAGGGTCTACGGTAACGGTTTTGTTACAACTGCAACGGTTTTATAGCTGTAGTGTACCGATATCACCTAAAATCTATTGGAACGGTTGCAACCGTTACAATATGGTGTCTATAGCAACGGTTTGTGAAACGTTCCATAAATAACTGTTTCCATAGGCCCATTTTCTAGTAGTATGTGTGGTGACTATTGGGGGTCTGGAGACCCGAGTTGATCTTTTTTTATTGAGTATGGTGGACTTCGATGTCATTTTAGGCATGGATTGGCTATCTCCGTGTCTCGCAATTCTAGATTGTCATGCTAAGACAGTCACGTTGGCTATTCCGGGTGTGCCACGGATTGAGTGGCGAGGTGTGACTGATTATGTTCCTAGTAGAGTGATCTCTTTCTTGAAGGCCCAGCATATGGTTGGGAAGGGTTGTCTTTCATATCTTGCCTTTGTGAGGGATGTTGGAGCTGAGACTCCCAGTATTGATTCTGTCCCAGTTGTGAGGGACTTCCCTGATGTATTTCCTGCAGACCTGTCGGGCATGCCACCGGATAGGGATATTGATTTTGATACTGACCTAGTGCCGGGCACTCAGCCCATTTCTATTCTGCCGTATCGTATGGCACCAGCAGAGTTAAAGGAGTTAAAGAAACAGCTTCAGGAACTCCTAGATAAGGGGTTCATTCGGCCTAGTGTGTCACATTGGGGTGCGCCGGTTCTGTTTGTGAAGAAAAAGGATGGCACAATGAGAATGTGCATCGATTATAGGCAATTGAATAAGGTAACAGTTAAGAACAAGTATCCTTCACCTCACATTGATTATTTATTCGACCAGCTTCAGGGAGCGAGGGTATTCTCCAAGATTGATCTCCGTTCGGGTTATCACCAGTTGAAGATCAGGGATTCGGATATTCTTAAGACGGCCTTCAGGACTAGATATGGTCATTATGAGTTCCTGGTTATGTCTTTTGGGCTGACTAATGCCCCATCGGCGTTCAATCATCGATGAACAGCGTGTTCCGGCCTTATCTTGACTCGTTTGTCATAGTTTTCATTGATGATATCCTAGTATATTCACGTAGTCAAGAGGAGCACGCGGAGCATTTGAGGGTTGTGTTGCAGAGATTGAGAGAGGAGAAGCTTTATGCAAAGTTCTCCAAATGTGATTTTTGGCTCAGTTCAGTGGCATTCTTTGGGCACGTGGTGTCCAGTGAGGGTATTCAGGTTGACCCAAAGAAGATAGAGGTGGTACAGAGTTGGCCCAGATCGTCCTCAGCCACAGAGATTCGTAGTTTTCTTGGTTTGGCAGGTTATTATCGCCGGTTTGTTCAGGGATTATCATCTATCGCATCGCCCTTGACCAAGTTGACTCAGAAAGGTATTTCATTATATGGTCGGACGAGTGTGAGGAGAGCTTTTAGAAGCTCAAGACAGCTTTGAACACAGCTCCAGTATTGGTCTTGCCATCAGCTTCAAGTTCATATACCATGTATTGTGATGCTTCGAGAGTAGGGATTGGTTGTGTGTTGATGTAGGAGGGTAGAGTTATTGCTTATGCTTCTCGTCAGTTGAAGCCCCATGAGAAGAACTACCCCGTTCATGATTTGGAGTTGACTGCCATAGTTCACGCGTTGAAGATTTGGAGGCATTACTTGTATGGCGTATCCTGTGAGGTATTCACTAATCATCGCAGTCTTCAGCATTTGTTCAAGCAAAAGGATCTTAATTTGAGGCAGCGGAGGTGGTTGGAGTTGCTTAAGGATTATGACATCACTATATTGTACCATCCGGGGAAGGCCAAAGTGGTGGCCGATGCTTTGAGCCGAAAGGAAGTGAGTATGGGGAGTTTGCCATATATTCCTGTTAGGGAGAGACCTCTTGCGGTTGATGTTCAGGCTTTAGCCAAGCAGTTCGTGAGGTTGGATATTTCGGAGCCCAGTCGGGTGTTGGCTTGTGTGGTTTCTCGGTCTTCCCTATATGAGCGCATCAGAGAGCGCCAGTATGATGATCCACATTTGCTCGTCCTTAGAGATAGAGTTCAGCATGATGATGCCAGAGATGTGACCATAGGAGATAATAGGGTATTGAGGATGCAGGGCCGGATTTGTGTGCCCAATATGGATAGGCTTCGGCAGTTGATTCTGGATGAGGCCCATAGCTCGCGGTATTCTATTCATCCAGGAGCCGCGAAGATGTATCAGGATCTTAGACAGCATTACTGTGGCGGAGAATGAAGAAGGATATTGTGGGTTTTGTAGCTCGGTGTCTCAATTGTCAGCAGGTGAAATATGAGCATCAGAGACCGGGTGGCTTGCTTCAGCGGATGGATATTCCAGAGTGGAAGTGGGAGCGGATCACTATGGATTTTGTAGTTGGGCTTCGAGGGACTTTGAGGAAGTTTGATGTTATTTGGGTGATTGTGGATAGGCTGACCAAGTCCGCGCACTTCATTCCTATTTGTACTACTTATTCTTCAGAGCGGCTGGCAGAATTATATGTTCCAGAGATTGTTTGGTTGCATGGTGTCCCAGTTTCAATCATTTCAGATCGGGGCACTCAGTTTACTTCCCAGTTTTGCAAGTCTGTTCAGCGAGAGTTGGGTACTCAGGTACAGTTGAGCACAACTTTTCACCCTCAGGCGGGCGGGCAGTCTGAGCGCACCATTCAAATATTGGAGGATATGCTATGCTCTTGTGTTATTGATTTCGGAGGGTCATGGGATCAGTTTCTACCGCTTGTAGAGTTTGCTTATAACAACAGCTACCAATCGAGTATCTAGATGGCTCCATATGAGGCTTTGTACGGGAGGCGGTGTAGATCTCCAGTTGGTTGGTTCGAGCCCGGTGAGGCTAGGCTTTTGGGGACAGATTTGGCTCAGGATGACTTAGATAAAGTGAAGGTGATTCAGGAGAGACTTCGTACAGCGCGGTCAAGGCAAAAGAGTTATGCTGACAGGAAGGTTCGAGATGTGTCCTACATGGTCGGTGAGAAGGTCCTGTTGAAGGTTTCGCCCACAAAAGGTGTTATGAGATTTGGAAAGAAAGGGAAGTTGAATCCGCGGCTCATTGGGCCTTTTGAGGTACTTCGGAGGATTGGAGAGGTGGCTTATGAGCTTGCTTTGCCACCCAGCTTGTCGAGTGTGCACCCTGTGGTCCATGTTTCTATGCTCCGGAAGTACATTGGAGATCCGTCTCATGTTCTGGATTTCAGCACGATTCAGTTGGAGGATGATTTGACTTATGATGTGGAGCCAGCAGCTATTCTGGAGCGTCAGGTTCGGAAGTTGAGATCAAAAGATATAGCTTCTGTGAAGGTGCAGTGGAGAGGTCGGCCCGTGGAGGAGGCCACCTGGGAGACCGAACGGGAGATGCGGAGCAGATATCCTCACCTGTTTGAGACTTCAGGAATGTTTCTTGACTCGTTCGAGGACGAACATTTATTTAAGTTGGGGAGGATGTGACGACCCGACCGGTCGTCTCATGAGTTACCGGTCCGTTCCCCCCATCTCTGCTTCTTATGGTTTTGTTTATCCGTGTTTTGAGGTATTGGGTTGGTTGGATTGAATCCGGGTTGGTTTGGAGATGTTTGAGACACTTAGTCTCTTTTAAGAAGGCTTAAGTTGGAAAAGTCAACCGGATGTTGACTTATGTGTCAGAGTGCTCGGATGTGAGTTCCGATGGTTCGATTAGCTTCGGGAGGTGATTTATGACTTAGGAGTGTGATCGGAACGGGTTTTGGAGGTCCGGAGTAGAATCAGGCTTGAATTGGCGAAGTTGATATTTTGGCGATTTTCGGTTGGTAGGTGAGATTTTGATCCGGGAGTCGGAATGGAATTCCGAGAGTTGCGGTAGCTTCGTTGCGTCATTTGGGATGTGTGTGCAAAATTTCAGGTCATTCGGACATGGTTTGGTTGGATTTTTGATCGAAAGCGTATTTCGGAAGATTTTGAGAAACTTAGGCTTGAATTCGATGCGTTTTGGGTAATTTGATGTTGTTTAAGGTGTTTTGATTATTTGAGCAAGTTTGAATAAGGTTTTAAGATCTGCTGGTGCCTTTGGTTGAGGTCCTGGGCGCCTCGGGTGAGTTTCGGAATTCGGAGCATTTTTGGAGTTTGAAAGTTGCAGATTTTTGCTCCAGCAGTTGCAGGTATTTTGTTCTTCGCGTTCGCGAGAGGGGACTCGCGTTCGCGAAGGGTCAGGAGGGGAGGCATCAGATTTGGTCTTTGCATTCGCGAAGGGGAGCACACGTTCGCGAAGGGGTGGGTTTCGTAAGCTACGCGTTCGCGAAAGGGTCTACGCGATCGCGAATAAGAAGTGGGTCAGATGGGTTCGAGGTCTTTTGCACATCGCGTTCGAAAGGATGAGTACGCGTTCGCGGAGAGTGGGCTAAGGTAGGCATCACGTTCGCCACTGTCTTGTCGCGTTCGCGAAGAGTAAAAAAATGGTCAACGTGAGTTTGTGCTATGTGAACGCGAGGGTTTGACCGCGTTCGCGAAGAAGGAAGGTCAGGCCTGGGCAGAACGTTTTAAGTCGTCTTGTCCGCGATTTTGGGTCTATTTTCACCCATAGTTGATCATTTTGAGAGCTTTTTGAAGGATATTAAAGAGGGATTCAAGGGGAAACGACTTGAGGTAAGATTTTTGGACTTAAAACTCGATTCTATTGTGAAATCTACCTAGAAAATCATGGAAACATAAGCTAAAATGGAAGAACTAGGGCTTGGAATTTTGGGCCTTTGATTTGGGATTTGAAGGGGTCATTTGTGGACGAATTTTGA